CAACTCTGTTAGCCCTTCCAATCTAACTTGCAACTCTGATATGGTCTTGGCTGAATTTTTGCCATTAGCAGCACACCACTTCAGAATTGCCAATCTGACATTCCTGATCCTCTCCTTCATACTGAACAGTTTGGGGCCACTAACCACCTTATTCCAGGACTCCTCCACCACCTTTTCAAATCCCTCCTGGTTTAACCATCTTGCATCAAACTGAAATCTCTTTGGGGTTTTCTCAGATTTGTTGAACACATCCAAAATCAGTAAACTGTGGTCAGAGGATATCATAGGGCAATGTTTGACCAGAGCATTTGGGTACTTGCAACAACCATCAGGGGAAAGAAAAAACCGGTCAAGTTTCTCCTCCACAAAGTCCTTACCAGATCTAAGGTTGGACCAAGTGAAGGGATGGCCACTGACCATACAATCAGCAAGACTCAGAGAGTTCACAAAGGTTTTAAAGTCAGTGAAACTACTCTCAGGTCTGGTGACTCCCCCATTTTTCTCATGGTTAGAGAGGAGATCATTAAAATCTTCTCCCATAAACCAAACAGATCCCCAATTAATACTATGTCTAGCCAGATAATTCCATTGACTAGCCCTTTCTATTTGACTGGTGCTAGCATACACAAAGATACCCCACAGGGGTTTATTGTTGTTTAGAGAAAATTGCACCTGAATACAAAAAGACAAACACACTAACTTAATAACATGAACCTTGTTAGACCAGCAAAGTAAAAGCCCTCCCTTATACCCTACTGGCTCACCATACTCCCACCTATTATCAAGCCTACACTTCTTACACACTGTAGTAACAAATTTTTTCTTTTTTTTTTGTTTCTGACAAAAAGAGAAAATCTGGGAGGTGGACTCTAAGAGCCTCTTTAACCTGGGAAACTGTAGAGGGTCCCCCCAAACCTCTACAATTCCACACAATAGCCTTCATTGGAAACCTCGGGACCAGTTATGGCTGGTTTCCTCCACCTTTTCAGACTTTGATTCATCACCAAGTTTCAATTTTTTATTTTCCAGTTTGAGGTTTCCCTCAGGCACATCATTAAGCACAACAGACTCAATGGGTCTTTTCAGACTCCCTTTCTTATCACCTATGGACAGATCAACAGCCATAGGTTCAAGACTCATATGTGCAGCGCCTTTTTGCTGTTTTTGAAAGGTTCTTCTCTTCCTCTGAATAATCTTACTTCCAGAGGAATAAGTTTGGACATCAACATCCACAAGTTGGTCTTGCTCAGCAATCTCAACTTCTGCAATATCATCAGTTAGGTTAGGAGTTACAACATCTGTAACTCCTACCCCCAAATTCCCAGATCTGTCATTCAGGGTGTTGGACACCTTCTCATGATGAGTAGGGTTAGCATTATCACTCAACCCTCCACTTTCCCTGGGAATTTCAGCACTATCACTATTAATCCCCCCACCTGCTCCCACCCCACTACTAACCACCTCATTATTATTAGACATATTATTAGGTTTTTCCCGGGATACATTTCCCCCCATACTGGAATTAGCACTTTTACTCTCAGAAGGACTGATGAAGGATGCTCTCAGCCACTCCCCATATTACCCTGGTTTTATCACACCTTTCTTGACATCCTCTTTCCTAGTGGGGCAAGCTCTGTCGTTGTGTCCCACTAGACCACAGTAAAAACAAATATTTTGGAGATGTTCATACCTAAATGCCACCCATCGATTTTGGTCCCCCAATCTGATGTAAGTCCCCCGAGGCAGCGCCTCTCTCAAATTGAATTCAACCTGGACCTTAATTATTTGCCCACTCCAATTATTCCCAGTAGGAATTTGAACATCAAGGACTTCTCCAATCATTTGTCCGATTTTAAATCATGTCTCTTCAGTGAGCCAATGCAGTGGGACATGATGGATTTGGACCCATATTTTAATCTTTTCTTCATCTTCATAGAAGCTCGTTTGGTCTGGCTCCCATTTCTTCAGTAGGATATATTGACCATCGAACGACCAGGTTTTACCATCAAGGATTCGGTCTCTATCTTCCTCAGATTTGAAGAGAAATTGGAAGAGGTTGTTCCCAATTCCTCTGACATTAAACGACTCTTTGGTTGTCCAGATAGCTCCCACAGTTGCTTTGAGTCCGTTCAGATTTGCCCTTTTCTCACCATAAACTTTGCCTATCAAGCTTAATCTGCAGTCATCCAGGCTCGAATTGACGTCATCCTCCTTCAATTGAACACCACCTTTTTCTTTCTCAGAAAGAACAACTTTCTGAAGCTTCGTTGCTAGATCTGGTTCCATTACAGCAGACCGCAACTACCCACCCAAGAACACCCCCATAAACACCAAACCACCGATAGATCACAAGAACAGACCTAAGACCTAAGAAGGAAAAACAAGACACAGGACCAAGACGCATTGAGAAAAGACGAAGGAAAGCTGAAAGAAGCAAGGCTGACAAAAGGAACCGAAGGAATTAAAGGAACAAGATGAAATTCCCCAGAGGATGTGAATACCCAAACCCCATACACACACACACACACAAACATTTTAGCTACACTAATTTTATCATTAATTGCTTAAATAATATTAAGTTATTTAAAATCACAAAATTAGCCATAGGTATTTAATCCCGCTTAGTAGATTTACACTATGGGCTTCGAATAAGTTTGTTTATGTTACTGTAGACGATGTTATATGTGTAGTGTAACGTAAACATGGAGTTGAGAGATTTAACCTTGAGGTGCTTGATTCCAATTTCCAAATATAGACAGCGTGAATCACAAACTTAGGAAAGAAGGTAAATAAAATGTACCAGTTGAAGTTGTAAAGTACAAAAGTTACATTTTTAGGGAAGAAGGTAAATAAAATGTACCGAGTTAAAGTTGTAAAGTACAAAAGTTACATTTTGACATAGCAACTTCTTGATTGTTAACAGGAGGGTTGGTTTATTTATCCAAGTCGATGTAAGCTACACAGGCATCTGCTCATGCGCTCAACTTATTAAAGCTCGAATTCGACTCGACTAGATTAATAAACAAGTTGGAGTCAAAACACTCATTTGTAAGCTCAATAAAAGCTCAACTATCAGACGTTCAAACTTGACCAACACGTTTACAACTCAACCATGGGGATGCAAAAACTAGTACAACAAAATCAGGCAAATGTTAGCAAATCATCCACAACCAGAAATCTAGCGAGCATAGTTGAGCGTAAACGCTTCATTAATTATTCAAAAGGAGTCATTCACTCACAGCATATGATTTCATTCAACCGTCTACTAATTTAAATTATCTACCGATACAAAATAGAACTGATCAAAATCAAAACAACAAATAAAACTTAATCAAAATTCGATTGATTTCCGACTTCTTTTTTCCTCCCGATTTCCCCAATTCTCAAGACTCTTTTGGGGTACACTTTCTAATATATGAGAAGCCGTATGTTTCTCTCAAGCATTTGCAAAAAGTTTACAAACATTCTGGAGAAAACATTCAGCCCCAACCAGACATGGATAGCAAGTAATGGCTTGTACTTGCTTTCTTTCACCTGGCTTCACAAAACCATATGAGCCTTACCATAGTATCTGTTGATAAAGGGTGACTGCAATGCAAAAAGATTTGATAAGTGAAAAATGTGAGTTATTTACCACAATATAAGATAGCACTAGATAAAACAAAAAAAAAAGGGTTAGGAGTACGAACATTATGAGATCAGTCCTATAGACATAAAATAATAACACGATAACTTAAGCCAATTTATCACGTCATAATATCTTTGTGTTAGATGTTAATGGAATATTTTCATAAATTTCCATCCAAAAACGAAAAATAAATAAAAAGTTTATGTCGAAAAAAACTAAAATTAACTTGGAAAGAAACCAACCAAACAATCTAATAAGATAGCAAGCTGTCTACAAGCAGGACACGGATGATGATTTCTAATATTTGGAATTTCATAGTTATACAAGTGTTTGTTGCAATTAATTATCAAGCAAGTATAAACATGAAGCACTCATAGCAGAAGCTTTAAAGATGTATAATTTGAAAGCTAGCAATAGAAAATAACAAACTCTCGAAATTCTTCTTGTCATCCTTGACAACTTATCTGAAAGCCAGGTAAAAAAAACACTTTTGAACTACATAAGCAACAATCACTCAAAAGCAATCTCAAAATTACTTCCGGGATTTAAAAAACACCCTACCAGAAAGAGAAAATGTTTGTCTTGAGATTGAGAAAATTCACCTTCACGCTTGATACATCGGGTGTGTCAGGTGTGGATACAGGATAGAATTTGTAGAATTTCATACTCTCAAACGCAGCCCTGGTTTCTTCACTCATTTCTGCCAGTGCTTTTTTGCGAGCTTCCCTAGCCTAAACAGACACACACAAAAAAAAAAGGCAAACGACCTTCATGATAAATGAGATGTATATAATACAAAACCAGAAGTTGTGGCCCACTATATTCGATGTATTACCTCGCGATTGGCTTTTTTAGCTTCTCGAACTTTCTCCTTCACAAAATCCTAAAATAAAAACAAAGAAGGCAATAAATTTCAATATAAACATAAATAAAATAAACAAAAAAACCAGTTAAGAGAAAACATATTGCGAGTCACTACAGGTTACTGAAGCAACATGTTGAATATAATAAGAGACGAGCTGCATGGACATCATTGTGAAGATTTACCTTGAAAGCTTCTTTCTGGTCTTCCGTCAGCTCTTCTTCCTCAACAAGCTTATCAGTGAACTCCTAAACAATTTTTTTGTATACCGGTTAAAATTGGGTTTGCACAAAAAGATCACTGAAGAAGCATATTTCATACTCTGTTTACCATTAAATGTCAGTCATACATACCTCAAGCTCATCTAACTCCCAATCAAATTCACAGAAAACCTGCAGCCAGTAATATAATTAGGTTAGACAATTTTGATGTGTTTCAAAGTGTCCTCAAATTTCTTGTTATTAATGCAAAACTAAGCGAAGTCTTACCGGCTTGGGGTCGATTGGGTACAAGATCTGCACCACTGTGCTCTGTTCAACTTCATCTTCCAGGAAGGGATTGTAGAAGTCTGCCAACAATGAAAGAAATGTAAGAACAATCATGTACATAAACTATTAAGTTCAACAGAGAGGAATCTTGCAATGCTTAATTGTGTAGAGCAGACTGTTGTACTCCCAAGCTTTGAACACAAGTCACAGATTTGTTATCTACACGGCGAATAACATTCTACATCTTACATGGTAATCTTTATTTACATTAACCTTCAAAGTGTTGCAAAATAACCTAGTACTTCTTTTTTTTAAACTGTTCACAGAATGTTTTTAAAGCTTTGTCGGCCAAGGCAAAACCAAACCTTGTGGGTGCTAAGGACATGGAAGAAGCACCCACCTCAGCAACTCATGTAGCCTGAGTTGTGGGAAGGCAATTATGATGGCCTCTGCCCAGGCAGGCAACAACGTTACCGTTAAAAATTATGAAAATCATATTTTTCAGTCATGGTTAGCCTAGAAACAATGAAGTCAATAATTAACATTGTATTATATCAATAAAACAAGTGTACCAGTCAACATCTAAACAACAAACCGAATGGCTAAAATAACAGATATCTGCAACTACAATACATGGGAAAAGTTAGACTAAAATGTATGAACGTATTGAAACTACCAAAGTGAGGGAAAAGTTAGACTAGCATTGTATAAACGTATAGATAGCAAGCAACTCTAGAAGGATGGAATCAAAACTCCATCCAACATACCCTGACCATCACACTTACCATACACCTTAAAACCAACAAGATGCCAGGACACCCTAGCTTACAGTTTTCTACAGGTCATTCATCTCCCTCTAACTTAACTCAATTAAACGTATAAAATGCTAGTACTCCCTAGTGTTATCAAATAGCGGCCATTGGCGGCATGGCGTGGCTGATTTTTGACAATCCGCATGCTAAATTTGTGATGGAATGGCTGTTGTGACGGCGCCATAGGCCGCCATGGCAGGTGGCATGGCGGCCACTATGGTGGATTTTTGGCGCACCGCCATTAGTAAAACTGGTACTCACACAATATAATAAGTTTCCTTGACACACACACACACACACATACCAAAACAAACAAAAAAAAAATGAACGAGCAAACCTTTCTCTAAGTTGGCCATTGACTGAGAAAGAAGACAGAGTGTTGTAAGCAGAAACCGACTAACAATAGGGTCATTAACTTTCACTTACAGGGTAAGCAATACTCGAACTTCTTAACGCGCTCTATCTTCAAATGCTGTAGACCAGCCCTGAAACAAGAGAAAACTATCATATAATCTGAAATTTA